TCATTGTGAAACATTTCTTTACACAAATATTTAACAAATCATTAGTATAAATCTCTAATTTTATATTTTTTTATGTTAATTTACATGAATTAGGTGACATTGAATTCGTTCAAGTTATATTGATTCATCGTCTTCATTGATGTAAACATTATCAATAAATTAAATTAATATAAACTGACTAAACTGAAAATTAATCACATCAACTAATAAGGACATTCAGACATGATCTCATCTGAAAGAAAACATAAGGTTGACTTCAATTATATTTATATTAACTAATCCACATCATAATATATTAATTCTTTGTGATTAACTTCAATTTTTTTGTACGTGCTATGTTCACTTATTTATTTATTTAATTTTATCTAATACATAGTAATATATAATTAAGATTGCCTTATCATGGATAATTAAGGTTGCTGTTCAAGATAATTACATTGTCATATTCAGTTTTGTATTAAGCTACAATCTTAAATTGCATTTAAGTCAACTGTTCTTCTTTTTTACATTAAAAGAAACATTTGACAGTGACAATTGTAGGACATATATATTTGGCTGGCAATAAAGAATGGTTCTTGATGAAACTAATATTGTATTTTCAGACTTCCTTTTAAAAAGCAAGCATAGGAAACTCTAGATAGTACTAAAAAGATTAAAATTTCAAATTTCCAATGACATATAAAACAATTAATTGTAATTATTATATCCCAAGAAAAGCTATGAGTAATGATAGAGAGTCAAAATCTAATTATTTCATGGTGTAATTTCAAATAATGATAGAATCAAGTAACTAACAACCATACCTAAATCTTGAAAATTTGCCCTACATAAGATCTCGATAGGATCCCACAATCAACTGATTTTTATTGCATTTCTATTTTCCGTAAGTGATGACTGGCCTAGTGGTTGGAGCCTGTGAACTTGTGTCAGTCAGTTCAAGTTCGAATCGTCTTGACTAGAGTCGCCAGGTCGAGCTTGTCACACATGGTCCAACCAGTTTCGTAAACGTCTTTCGTATAGTTTACAAGCTATTATACGAGAGCATAAATTTTGCCCAGAAAAATCTATATTATTTCACAATAAGTCCTTAGTGGAGGTTTTCGTTCTATCTTATGATTTGAAATTCATGTCACATGATTGTAATTTCTTTTTGGAGGGAGAAGCTAGTCACGAATAATTTCATTATAATTAGATGATTATATTACAGTATTGGGCAAATTACGGTCATTCCTGAGTTATGGTTAAATTATGAAAACACCCCTCATGTTTGGGTAATTACAGTCACCCCCTTTAACTATGTATTACCTTTCACACACAAAAAAACCCCTCCAAACGTAAATTTAAGGATGTTAAATCGGTAAAATCAAACCGATATTTCGGTACGCCAACATTTCATATTGTTTATCGAACTGAATATACGATTTGGTTCGGTAAGTAACCGAATTACCTAAATTTTATGAAAAAATATTTAAAAGGAGGGGGTGGCTGTAATTACCCAAATAAAAGAGTTTTTTTTCGTTATTTGGTCATACCGCAGGGGTGGCCGTAATTTGCCCTACAATATTTTACTACTTTATTTCATGTTTATTAATCAATTATAATATTAAGGGTAAATTACAAACACCCCCCTGAGGTATGGTCAAATTACAAAAATACCCCTCTCGTTTGGATAATTACAACCACCCCCTCAACTCATCAAATTTAGTGGAATCTTCGAGTTTATATGGAATTTTATCACTTTTGTACCCGTTTTATCCCATTCAAACTCTACATTATGAAGCAAGATGATCATAATATGTGATTTTTAGCTTGTATATATCAGTTTGTGGTGCATCGGAAACTGTATTTTTTACACAAAAAGAGTACAAACTAGAGCACATTTCACGGAATCTAGATGACTATGTTGAATTTGGCACCATAAAGGTGGAGGTCTAAGAAAAAATCATAGTTGAGGGGTAGATGTAATTATCCAAACAAGAGGGGGTTTTTTGTAATTTGACCATACCTCAGGGGGGTGTTTGTAATTTACCCTAATATTAAATATTATATGATCACAATTTTTATATAAAATTATTTAATAAAAAGAATAAAGCAGCAGTCAACATTCTTAGGTGAAGATCTTGATCCTTAAGAACAAACTAAGAGAAGTTGCACGTGAAATTGAATACGAAAATTTGTCAAAAAAAGGTTGCTGAAAAGTTTTGGAATAATTAACTTTTAATTGTCAACTTTAATCATTGCAATTTATGTATTCTGAAGTCATCAAACCAAAAAGAAATCGAACTTCATTTATTTATTTATTTTTCTTCAACTTTTTAATCTACCTATTTTCCTAATATTTGGCGCCACAATTCAAATTTGCTCATAATACATATGGTTCAGTTTCACATCTTATAACCAACTTCTGAAAGAGTTCAGTTAGTAATGCCATGTGTAGTAGTTGCCTTGTTTATTAAAAAATGAGTCATAAGAGAAAAAAAAAAAAGACAATTCTATTTTATATACATATATATCATTATGTTTGTTAAAATTAAAATATTATTCAAAAAAAAATTCAAATTTATTTGTATATATATATATATATATATATATATATATATATATATATATATATATATATATATATATATATATATATATTGAACCTTTATTTGTGAAAATTAAATATTATTCAGTTTCTTTTTATTATACTAAATATTATTAAAAAAAATTACTTATAAATAATAGTTTAAATTTTGAATTATTTTTCAGCCCCAAAACAATTTGAAATTTTAATGTTTGCCCTAAAATAGCGTTTTCCGTAGATGTGAACGGAAATGTGACCAAATGTGTTTAAAATTGAACCTTAGAGGTGAAATTTGTTCAGTTTGGAACAATGGGGACAAAAAGTGAAATCGGGCAAAACACGAGGGACGAAAAGTGTAAAGCAAAGTATTTTTTGGTCCATTATATAATAATAAGAAGAAGAAAAATAATACATAAATCTTAGAGAAATGTGAGAAAACATCACATATTCCAATTTTTTCAAGCCAATCGGGTGTGGGTCAAGAACCCCACTCCCACCTAGCCAACACCCACGCGGGTCGGGGCATGAGTGCAACACTTGGAACCTTTTTTGGGTCTAAACATAATTAATTAAATATAAATGTCACAGGGCAAAAACATCTATATAAATAAATGTATAAACAAAATTATAATTAGTGAAGATTCACATTATTGAAGAATTAAATAAGGGCCACCTAACTTCATATGACCAACAATTCTTGGTATCAGCATTTTCCTCGTCAAGTGATGATCACGAGTCATGAAATAATAAACCTTTCCTACATATATTGATGTTTTATAGTCATAATCGGGAAAATACAGATTGAATCCCTTAAGTTTGTGACTATTCCAAATGTTGTCATCTAAGTTCATAAAAATATACATTTGGTCCTCTAAGATTACAAAAATATCCATTTTCTGTTAAAACTAATGGAATCAAGCATGTGCTTTTGAACAAAAGTGACCAAAAGTGTCATATTATTGAAACATGAGGGACCAAATATGTTTTTTTGTAACTAGAAAGACCAAATGTCAAATAAATGCAAACTTAAGGAGTGAAAACCGTAATTTTACCGTCATAACAAATTACTCCATCTGTTCCATAATATCTGTCTCTTTTGAGAATTTTTTTTGTTCCATATTATCTGTTACTTTACAATTCCAATGCTGCATTAGCCATTAATTGTTTATTATTCAATTTTACCCTTATTAACTCTATAGCACTCTTCCTGCATTAATTAATAAACAAGGGTATTTTGGTCCATCAATATCTATTTTTCTAAAATCAAGACATATTTATTAAGATTCTTAAGATTTGTGCCAACCGGCTTTTGAGATCCTACACCGGGTAGATCTTTATCATTCATATACACACAAACACAGACACACCCACATTGGTATGTATAACCTTCACTGGGTGTAGGATAGATAAAACCGTGTCAAGATGAAAAACGACACCTATTTAGGAACGGAGAGAGTATATTGCAAGGATTACTATTGCTATTAATGTTGAATCTATTGAAACTGGTACGAAACAGATTTCTATTTTTTAATTTTATAGTTTTGTAAATATTATATCTAAAATACACACCTTTCTAAGTACTATATTTATATATCTATGAAACGAAATAAGTAACATTATGGGGGCAAAAATGTCATTTACTGGCAGAATGGCAACGTCTAGTGGTGAAGCAAAATAGTATAACGCCCGTACGGCAAATGTGGGATTTTTGGTTGACAGCTGTTTCAGCGCGACCTCAGGGATTCAGCGCGCTGCTGCAGCCGATCGTTGCTCTACTTAAGGCCCTGTTTGGCAACCTCCAAATGATTATCTATATAATGATTTACTAAATAAAATTGTTATACTCCCTCTAATCCCAAATTTGTTATAAAACCAGCATTAGTGGTTAATTGTTGCACTTAAAATTAATTGATCAATAAAATAAACCGATCCTCTTTCATGGTGAGACTAACATTAACAAGCATCATTAAAACTCCAACTTCCCCTACTTCTAAGTCTAGAGCCTGTAGACTTGACAAAATATAAATATCCTAAAAATATATAAATTAATCTAACTCCCTGATGGACACGAAAAATTAGATGTTACAGCTGATTATTTATCTAACGTACCTGTAGTAGTGAATTAAAATAAAATAAAAACAATTGAAAAAACCTAGAAAATTTGTTTAATAAGTGAAAACAAACAGAGATTAGTATATATTATGGGGAAATTCGTGCAAAGAGCACTCCTCTAATACAGGCAAAAAACATTCTCATTCCACACACACACACACACACACTCGTTGCTTCTCCCCATAAACAAATTATACTTGCACAAACACTAATTTCAATTTTACTCCATATTTTTTTTAAGCATGCGTATGCAAACCTATATGAACATATATATACATACACACATATATATATATACATGTCTGAAATATATCTGAATGAAGAGAGAGAGAGAGAGAGAGATGAAAGATATGCAGAAAAAAGAGTTATGCCCATGAAATTAAGAATGAGAGCATCACAGCTCACACACACACACTGTCACTCAAACTTGTTTCTTTCTCTCTCTAGTTTCTCTCTCTGCAAATTAGCATAACAAACAAAAAAAAACCAACCCTTCATCCAATCTTCGTTTCCCCACTTCATCAGGTACCACAACATCTGTACTATCATTACTTACACCGCCGTGTACGTATATCTATATCTATATATATATAAATATCATTTGCTATTTATTTTGTTATTCCTTAATGAAAGGAATAACATTGCCAGTGGTGTTTCCAACAACTCACCACTTTCCCTGCAAGAACCAAAACCCACTCTCCCTTTCCAAGAAATCGTCGCCGCCGCCTCCGTCGTCATCATCCAGGTGGGCCCACATGGCGTCCACCACCACCATCACCGCCGCCGCCGCCCGCCGCCACAAGAAGATCGTCGTCATAATGGGTCCGACGGGCTGCGGGAAATCCAAACTCTCCGTCGATTTGGCCACCAGATTCTTCCCTTCGTCGGAGATCATCAACTCCGATAAAATCCAAGTCTACCGTGGCCTCGATATCACCACCAACAAAATACCGCCGCACGAGCGGAAGGGCGTCCCCCACCATCTCCTCGGCGAGTTCGACCCGTCCGAGTCGCACCCCGAGTTCACCCCCTCCGATTTCCGCTCCTCCGCTTCGTCGACCATTTCGGAAATCCTGTCCCACCGCAAGGTACCCTTCATCGTCGGCGGATCGAACTCGCTCATCTACGCATTGCTGGCTAAGAAATTCGACCCCGAGTTGGACGTGTTCAGCGGGTCAAACTCGGTATTCTGCAAAGAGCTGAGATACAGCTGTTGTTTCATCTGGGTCGACGTTTCCCTGCCGGTGCTGAATGAGTACTTAGTGAAACGAGTGGACGACATGCTTGACTCGGGCATGTTCGACGAGTTGGCCGAGTATTTCGCCGATCCCGAGTCGGACTCAGTGAGTCAATCCGGGTTGAAGAAGGCGATCGGGGTGCCGGAGTTCGAGAGATACTTCAGGAGGTTTCGCGATGATTGGAGGTTGGATGATGACGTGGCAAAAAGGAGGGCGTACGAGGAGGCGTTGTGGGCCATAAAGGAGAACACGTGTCGGCTGGCGAAGAGGCAGCTGTGGAAGATCCTGCGGCTGAGGGACGCCGCCGGGTGGGACATAAAGAGCGTGGATGCAACGGCGTCCGTGACGGCGGCGGCGATGGGCGGCGGCGGAAGGAGGGTGGCGGATATTTGGGAGAGGCAGGTGGTGGAACCGAGCGTGAAGATTGTGAGGCGGTTCTTGATGGAGTAGGTTTTCCAGCTCAACAATGAAAAATACATTTTTCTTTGTTTATTTTTAGTAATTATTTCCACTCTTTTCATTTAAACAAAAAAAAAAAAAAAACATTTTTTTTTTTACTTTTTTTTTTAATTTTAATTTTTTGCTCTGAAAAAGTCTGTAAATTCCTCTAGGGGTGGGGGGACCAATTTTGCGGGATTACTAAATTTTGAGAGAGATTATTTTCCGAATTTTAAATATTAGAAAAAATTATGACAAATAATTTATTTTATTTTATTTTTTATTTTTCTTTGAGTTTTCTAAGGTAAATATTTGGATCATAGTTTATAAATTTTGTTAAATTGTGGAAATTTGATAAATGTATATGACTATTTAATTTGGAAGTTCCTTTTGTCAAAGGTGGTACGTGTTACATAATTATTTTTAATTTTTAATTTATGTTTTAATGATTATTTAGGTATATTCATATATCGTCAATTTAAACACTACAATAATATACGATAAAAAAAAATAAAAAAATAAATAAATAAATAATAATAATAATAAATACACCCCCACTACGCATCATGGGAAGCAAAACCAAAAAGGAATAACTTCTAATTTATATTTACGAGGCATTGATTTGGACAATTGGAATAATGGCCAAAAGTTGCCTTTTTGGAGTTCTTTTTCCTCTTTTTTTAATATATATTTAAATAAATTAATATATTTTAGTGTTCTATAAGTTGAGTAATTAAATCGTTAAATGAAGATTTATAGTTCATTCTAATGAATTATTATTCCATAATCTGTAAATAAATGTAGAATGTAGATTATATCTTTTGATCATAAGATTATTTCACAATTTAGGCATTACGCGAGTTTTTTTTTTTCAAATCGACGAGACACATTAGTGTAGTGAATGTTTTTTGTAACACGAATGAATATACCTTAAAACTTTAGTTATTTCGTAATATGTACGTTTAAAAATTGAAGTATTTTCTAACATCAAACTAAGTCACACATTTAGTGTGTCAATATACGTGCACTTGACGAATTTGACAATCAAAAATTATGTTTTACGTAATAAATTAAATAGTCATGAATTTCATAATATTTTTGTGAACACAATAGTTTTATGTGCTAGGATGTACGTTTCAATGACATTACATCATTGTGTTAATCAAATAATATAAGTAAGATTATGAGGTCTCTACGAGATACTATATTTGGTGTAATGCATTGGGTAATTTTGAACTGAAGATTATATAAATAGCTATCCATTAAACACACACATATGTATGAATATGTGTTATAATGTATAAATCAATAATTCAAGACCAGCCGATATTTGGTATAGTATCTACAAACTATATTATAAAGTGATTAGAATCAATTGTAAAAATAAATCAAGGATTATAACTTATAAACCGTCCATGATGTGGACTAATGATGTACTAAATAGGAAATATATTTTCTAATGTTAGCCAAAATAAAATATGTAATTAATTTATTTAATGGGGCCAAATTTTCCTCCAAATCTTATCTCCTTAGTTTCATGCTGCATCATTAGATCGCCCTTTTTAAATCAAAGGCTTTTAAACTTTGATTTGATGCTAATTAATAAATAAAGGTTTTGAGATTTATCTTTTTTTGTTTTTAATTAATATTAATATTTAAAAAGGATGTGAGGACAAGATTGTTGTACAATTGGATGCACGTTTACAATTAAAATCAGTCTAATTCGATCCTCTTCTTTTAGATTAGATTTTCAGTATCCAACCTTTAGATACCATTGAAAGATCATTCAATCAAAGAAATTACAGTATAATTTCGATAATTAATAACCTCGTTTAATTAATATTCTTTCTCGGTACAACTTGACGACAACGTGTTAAAAAATATATTGTTAAATTTAATATTTTGCAAAATTAATATGAAAGCAAAATTCATTCTAGAAATATAAAAATATTTAAAGAGGAAATTATAACGGGAAATCTGATATTCACCGATTACGATTCAAATTCTGATTTATTAAGGATCTTTCTTTGTCATTATAATTACAAATAGAAATGCAAAAATAACTAAGACGGTGTTTGCAAAAGTTTTTAAAAACATATTATGAACTCTTTTTTTTTTTTGCTCATAATCTATTTTTAAGTGTTTGCAAAATGAATTTTTGCTTTTGCTTCTATTAAAATAAGTAGTTTTAACCTCTAAATTATTAAAACAAATTAGCAAACACCCTTAACTAATAAAAATAAACACTTAAAACCAACTTAATTTACCATCTATAACTTTTGCTTTTAAATAAACTCTTGTAATTAAACACCACCCAAGTGATAATTAGTTTGCATGTAATGCACTAAAAATGTACTATTCAACAGAACATTTACATACATGTGTATGCATATGTAAACGAATGATGTTATTGTTGGATTTACTTCAATATAATTCATAATATATATATATATGTATATATATATATATATATATATATATATATATATATATATATATATATATATATATATATATATATATATATATATATATATATATATATATATATATATATATATATATATATATATATATATATATATATATATATATAAAGAAGAAGAAAAAAGCCAATATTGACATGACCTTAAAACATTTACCATGTTTAACGCGTGGTGATAGAAAGATAGTCAGGTGGCCAATTATATAGGGTTTTAATTTTCCATTTTCCATGATCATTTTTGTGGAAAAAATTATGATCCCAATAATAGAAATTTTTGCAGGTACCCTCCAAATAACTTTTAACAATATGTTATATTCGCCTCGGTGCGTAATTAGGTAAAAAATATGCAGTAATTTTATTTCAGCCACGTACGTTTAAAACTTGTTACAGTGTAAATAAAGCAGTGGTGGAGTCAGCATAGAGCTGGGGTCGTGCCTTTCTTCACTACTAGCATTAACGACCCTTCTTCATAAATTTTGTAATGCATTCGGTCCCTCAAACTTAAAATTTTAGCTCTGTTGTGTATGAGTTCGGTTCCTACTTCTCACAAAATTTTAGAATTTAATCCGTACGTTATTGATTTGATCAATTTGAAGCACGTTGTTGTTACGCGACTTACATCCGGGGTTTATAAGGTGGGACCCACATTTTTAAGAATCTCTAGCTTCGTTTGAAAGTGGGAACCCTAACTCTCTAGGGCATATCATCACACATCATCAATTCATCCAAAAATAAAAACCAAATATCATCTCTCTCTCTCTCTCTCTCTCTCTCTCTCTCTCTCTCTCTCTCTCTCTCTCTCTCTCTCTCTCTCTCTCTCTCTCTCTCTCTCTCTCTCTCTCTCTCTCTCTCTCTCTCTCTCTCTCTCTCTCTCTCTCTCTCGTTTGTTGAGAATGCCGACTTTTGGTATGATTAATGATCG